ACTCCCCAAAGAAGAAATAAGCTCCTTGTGCTCCCTCGATCTAAGGAGCATCGATCTGGCCGAAACTAGCACTCCTTGGCCAGATTTGACTGGCGAGAGGTACGATAGATTTTTTTAAAAAATATATATAATTTGGTAATTTTGAAATTAGTGAAAAAATAAAATTATCTTTTCAATATTATCACGTCATCAAGTAAATGGAAATACTAATGGTTGACTAACGACTAGACATGTGTGTCTAGTGAAAAATATTTTTTTAAGACGGAATGTTTATTTTGAAAATTAATAGATCCATACGGAATTATGGTTAAACCTTAAGGGTGTTAGTGTATTACCCAAAATAAAAACCTGCAATTGGCAAAACCAAACAAACAAATGAGCATGCAATGGCCATTACAATATACAAATTCTGAAAAAATCTAAGACAGTGCTTTTTATAATTATTGCTATCATTCAGAATGTCTACTATAACCATATGCATACATATATACAGGTTTAATTTGAATTTACAGTTTCTCTCTTTTTTTTTTCCTATTTTTCCAATGAAATTGAACATACAATTTGTTCCTTTATAGCTCCTGTTGAATTCTTTTTTTTACCTATGCTTAAGGTATGTTTTGATTGCTCTATGCATCTTCGCAATGGCAGCAGAGTTATATCTTTAGCAAAGAAGATTTTTCAGTTGTCACTGTATTCTCAACCTTCCTTCATTGGTTTTCTTTCTGTCCTAGGTGAGATTTTCTTAAGTTTAGGTGACTCAGGGCAAGCAGAAGAAAACCATTTCAGTGGCTCTCTTCTTAATTAAGGAACTTAGATGGCTTTCATTTTCGGTGCTTTTGTTTAGTGTTGTTGCTATTTCTTTTGCGGTCACCATCTCCAAACAAGTTTAGTCAGGATAGGTATTTATTTAACTTCACATTCTGTTTATTGTTTTTAAGTCTCATAAGCTGCAACAAATTTGTTTACTTGATTCCTTTTCATGCTTCTAATTAATGCCATATATTTCTTTTTGTAATTAAGTCTGACACATTGCCAGCACCAATTGATTTCTGTCACTGAATTCTCAGGGCTTTCACTCGCTACTGCTTTTTCTTGTCTAGTTAAGATCTCTAAACAACAAGCAGTATATATCACCAAGTCAATGGTGGGTACTTTTAGCTTTCCATTCTCTGCAACTTAATTTTAAGTTTCATGTACTGCAGCAGAGCAGCTTACTAAATTCTTTATCGTGTTTCCAATACAATATATTAGAAGTGAATCTTAAGAATAGTTTTGCAAGTATTCTTGAGTTCTTATAGAGGAAAGAATAAACACACTATTAAAAGTGAAGTGCTAATCTCATGTATAGTGCCAGTAATCAGATGAGGCTTTCAGGTTAACAAATGACAAAATAATTAAGACTTTTGAGCATCTTTATTACCTTATTCATGGTTAAATTTGACCACCCTTCCTTAAAAGCTAACTGTGGTAAGAAGGGCAACCAAGATCTTTTCGATGTTTAAGAGAAAGGTGATAAAATAACTAGGATTGATTTCGGGGTTGCATTTAAAAACCTTATTCATTAAGTAGAATGTTTAAAATTAAATGAATGAAATTTTGCCACATTAGTCATAACAAATAGTATTAACGCAAATATATGGTCAGGAAGGATAATCCTTTTTGATATCACTGAGGTAGGGAAGAAACATTCGAACTTCCCATTGTTTGATTCTTTTTTATTTTCATAAAATGCAAGAAAATTGTTTACCTAGTTCCAGTATATATGTGCTCTTCATGCAATATTTTGTCTGCATTGTTTAGGCACACAAGATTTGGCTGAAGAAGCTTTCTGGTTACCAGTTTCTGAACCTTAACTTGTTCACCACTTCACTTCTCCGCTCTGCTTAGGATCTCTCCAATATCAAAGCCAGTGAGGACAGGTACTTCTAACATCCCATTACTAATTACCTACAATTACTTATTTGAAAATTGCATAGACAGAAGAGTATCTCAACATATCCACATCAGGCGGTTTAATTCTTTGAACACAGAAACAACAATCATCTGCCTTTCATTTAAGCAGCTGTTTTCATGTATTTATGTTCATCATTTTCATGAAAACTAATTACCTACAATTACACTTTAGGATCACATGCTTTTGACTTCTAGAGTGATTTTCTTCCCTCTTTAGCTGCCTATGCAATTATATAAAAAAAAAACAATATATTTTGATTCACATCTTTGATATCCAGTTTGTCTAATTAATACAAGCTACTTACAAGTATGTAACAAAGAAAAGCAATGCTGCTTACAGGTTTATTGAGTCTACTTTATTTATGAGTGATATGATTATGTGGATAAAATCTACCAAAATATATTATAATGTTACTATTTGGTGTTACTTAGGGACGTGCAGCCATGGATTTTGTTCTGAATAAGATTGATAAACACTTGGACAACCATAGAAGCCTTGACCAGAACATGAAGAACCCAAAAAGAAAATTGGAGGATTTAAATGCCTTGAAAGAAGACACTGAATCAAAAATGAGGGCAGAACTGCAACCAAGGAAAAAACTCAAGAAACAATTTCATCTATGGTTGGGAAACATTGAAAGAATAAATGGTGAGATACAAGACCTCGAACAAAAAGTTGCAGAAAGCAGTATTGTCTCACGTGGATTTCACATGACAAATATCTTAGAAAAGAAAGAAGAAGTTGAGGATCTTCTTCAACAGGGTAAGTTTGATCAAGGTGTGGTAGTCTATGACCTTACGTGGATTGGACAAGCTTTGTCAACAACAAATTTAGTTGGGAAAGCTGCAGAGAATTGTATGAAAGAAATTTGGACATGCTTGATGGATGATGATATTGGACCGATTGGTGTTTGGGGAATGGGAGGACTAGGTAAAACAACAATCATGAAGATCATCAACAACCAACTTATTAAAAAAGCTGAAAAGTTCAACATTGTTGTATAGATCACTGTATCGAAGGAAATGAACATCTCAAAAATTCAAAATGGCATCTTACATATAATGGGAGAAACCGTTCCAGAAAATGAGGATGAAACAATAAGGGCAGGAATATTATATGAAATGTTGACTCAAAAGGGCAGGTTTGTGTTAATTTTAGATGATCTACGGGACAAACTTTCTCTTGAAGAAGTAGGAATCCCCGAGCCTTCTAACGGGAGTAAGTTAGTGATAACGACTCGGATGTTGGATGTGTGCCGCTATTTGAGTTGTCGAGAAATTAGAATGCCTACTCTTCCAAAACAAGATGCATGGAGTTTGTTTTTGGAGAAAGTAGGTAGAGATGTTCTCAATTATCTAGATCTATTACCAAATGTGGAATCTGTTATTGAACAATGTCCTGGTTTACCGTTAGCTATAGTTACAGTAGCTAGCAGTAGGAAGGGCATAAAAAATGTTCACGAATGGAGGAATGCACTAAATGAATTAAGTAGACGTGTAAGAGGTGTGACTGGGTTAGATGAAAAGGTACTTCAGCAACGGTTTGGTGGAAAGGAAGAACACAGAATTTTTTTAATCTAATGGGAGTCTGGCATTTATTATTTCTTTACCACTACAATTGGACGAACTAAAATTTCAATCTTTTCTCATTGTTTTCCTAATTGCTACGGTATTCATTTGGTTTCTGACCAAAACAGCATCCCAACATTCTTATTGGCCAGTATTTCATGACACAATCATTACTAATAAGAATAACGTAACAAAAAATTTGACATATGATAATTTATTGTAGATTCATTAATCGTGTTTATTTATTTTTATGTGAAAAGATAGAATTCAAAATTATCCTTTTAATTTGTATATACAAGCATGTATAATGATTAAGCCAAATACTGGAATCCAATTCATTAAACATTTAGTGGGGGAAAATTGAACAGGCTTGGATGGTCCCATATATTATTTTTTATTTCATTTGGTTGGTAAGTCACCCAAGAACACGGTTTAACTATTTCATAACTTATGCAAATGATGCAAATGCCAACAGATTGTCAGAAGGAAAATTACAGAGGCGCCTTCAATGAAATTTACCACAAGACTGCAATATGCTTGGATTCTTCCTGGTGGGACCTTCCACGAATGTGACCTTGTCTTCCCACTCTCGTTTTCTTTGATTGAATATCTATATAGACGCTTGGCGTTTTCTTCGCTGATTTCATCTATTCAAAGTCTTGCACAAGCTAGGGCCTCCACTCAGGTAATTTTTTTGCTTCCGCTGTTCCGCTTCTATGTATGCTTTCGCTTGCTCAAATCTGTTTCATTCTTGTCATGACTTGTTCCTTATTCTCTGTCTGAATTCTTATGTACATTCTTTTCTTTTTTTCACCAAGATACTGACTTTAGCTTTAAACTATGAACTTATGGCATGTTTGTTTAGGGGATGGACATTTTATTCTTTTTTTTATTTCTTTTATATGACATTATTTGCTTCACATAATGATCATCTCAAGAAAGATCGGAGTAGTTATTGTCAATCCTTTCCCTCGAAATGAGTACTTCGTCTGAATTGGAATGATATAAAAAAGTTAATAACAAAAATATGTTTAACTAGATTCAAAAATTACTAACATATAGAAGACAAAGTCCTTTTCTTCATCTATCTACTCATCTATCTCCCTCCTCTCTTTAATTTTCCTCTATCCTTAAGAGGATGCTAGAGGGCGGCGGTGGCCAACCAGGGACACTATGGTCGGATCTAATTGCGAATAGCATGATCTAACTCTCCACAATTAGATTGGTCGTGAAAAACGTTGATCTGACATTGCGTGATCAAATCTAGCTCCTATAAATGTCAATCTAACGCTCCATGAACAAATTTGACTGCAAGGAGCATGAATTTGGTGTTTCATTATCAAATCTGGTTGCAAAAAACTGTCCATTTGGTGCTCGATGTTCAAATCTGGTCGTAGAAGAACATATTGTCCCGTCATTGACTGTAATCTATATTTATTCACTGCAAAGTGTCCTGTCTCTTTCTGTTCGTTTATTGCCAAAATCAACAAAATTGAGGCAGTTAATCTATTTTTCCAAGCTGTGAAGTTGCTTCCAACTCAGTGAAGGGTCTCTGCATTCGGTCTGTCAATTATGCTACAATATTTTGGTGTCACCCCTTGCCTTTGTCTTCATAGCTTTGCAGTTTTCCATATGTCCTCAAAACTTAGAAATACCTTTGAGGAACCATAACTTTTTAATATATCAAAGTTATCTCTTCCTAGAAACAATTGAAATTCAATACTGTCGATGATTTCATTTCATTTGTATTTTAATGGAGCCTAGCCTTAGCAACTTTGAGCATTGTAAAATTAGGTGAGAAACCAAGTCTCCAAAGGGAACCTACCAAATTCCAATATTATGTCACATCAAATAGCAAAGGAAAAATTTGAACAATAAAATTGGATATCACACATAAGGCTTTAATTTGCTTTTCCTACTGTTTTTTCTTTTCAATTTTTCCTTCTCAGATTGCTTTCTTCTCTCTTCTTTTCCTTCCTCATGCCCCCTTATTTTTGGTTTGTGTAATTAATAAACGAAAGATTTTGTTAATGTTCTGCTTATAAAAGGTTTCTATGGCCATATGCATAGTCTAATCAACGTTAATTATTGGAACAAAAGAATCTCTTCAAATAAAGTTATAATATTAATAAAAACTAAGTTCTAACATTATTATAATAATTTGCAAACTATTTTGAATTTGTAGTAACAATTAGCAATCTACTTAAGTTCTTCGTAATTTTTTTTAATTCTTGTACATAATTGACTCTCCATGATTGTTATTTTCTATTAAAATTTTGTTAAATTTAAAAATTAAAATCAACCCCAAATATTGGTATCTTGTCATGTTTTCCTTATGAAGCTTAATTTGAATGTATATATTTTCACTTTTTTTTTCTTCCGAAGCTGCATTAATTTCCTATATCTTTCCAAGGAAATTGAATTGCTATAATTTGTTCCTTTATAGCTCTTCTTGAATTTCTTCTAACTATGCTAAACGTATGATTTGATTGCTCTATGCATCTGCTCAATGGTAGCAGAGTTATATCGTTAGCAAGGAAGATTTTTCAGTTGTCACTGAATTCTCAGCCTTCCTTCGCTGGTTTAGGGTTTATGTTGGAGGTGTGATTTTCTCAAGTTTAGGTGACTCAGCGCAGGCAGAAGAAAACCATTTCAGTGGCTCTTTTCTTAAGGAACTTTGGTGGTTTTCATTTTGGATTCTTCTGTTTAGTGTTGTTGCTATTTCTCTGCAGTCACCATCTCCAAGCAAGTTTAGTCAGGACAAGTATTTATTTAACTTCACATTCTATTTGTTGTTTTAAGTCTCATAAGCTGCATTAGATTTGTTTACTTGATTCCTTTTCATGCTTCTAATTAATGCCATATATTTCTTTTTGTAATTAAGTCTGGCACATTGCCAGCACCAATTGATTTCTCTCACTGAGTTCTTATTAGGGCTTTCGCTCGCTACTGTTTTTTCTTTTCTAGTTAAGATCTCTACACAACAAGCAGTATATATCAGCAAGTCAAAGGTGGGTACTGTTAGCTTTCCATTCTCTGCAACTTAATTTTAAGTTTCATGTACTGCAACAGAGCAGCTTACTAAATTCTTTACCATGCTTCCAACACAATATGTTAGAAGTAAATCTTGAGAATACTTTTGCAAGTATTCTTGAACATGGATATCTGTTCTTATGGATGAAAGAATAAGTACGGTATTAGAAGGGAAGTGATAATCTCATGTATAGTGGCATTAATCGATCAAGTTCAAAGGGATTACGTTTCTCTAGATGAGGTTTTCAGGTTGACAAATGACCAAATAAGAGAAGGGTGATAAAATAACTAGGATTGATTTTGGGGTTTCATTAAAAAACCTTATTCATTAAGTAGAATGTTCAAAATTAAATGAATGAAATTTTGCCACTTTTTTTTTTTTGCTAAGTCAGAAACATTTGAACTTCCCATTGTTTGATTCTTTTTTATTTTCATACAATGCAAGAAAATTGCATGCCTGGTTCCAGTATATATATGCGCTCTTCATGTAACATTTTGTCTGCATTGTTTAGGCACACAAGATTCGGCTGAAGAAGCTTTCTGGTTATCAGTTTCTGAACCTTAATTTGTTCACTACATTCTTCTCCGCTCTGCCTAGGATCTCTCAAATATAAGAGCCAGTTGGGACAGGTATTTTAACTTTCCATATCTGTTTCTTTTGATTCTCATTAACAGCAAGAAAGTTTGCTTGGCTATATTTCATGCATTTATGCCTAATGTTTTGTTTTGTTATTTCTGTCCACCTCCAAATGCTTCACCAACTCTCCACTTAATTTAATTTGGCCAAGAGGAAAATATTAACATGCCATAATCTTTAAAGAGATAGAACCTGAAAATTGAAATATTGTTCCAACATAATAGTTAATTGAAAACTGCGAAGACAGAAGATTGATTTTCTTTGAACATAGAAACAACAATCATCTGCCTTTGATTTAAAATGTTGTTTTCATGTATTTATGTTCATCATTTTGATAATATATAATTACCTACAATTACACTCTAGGACATGCTTTTGACTTCTAGAGTGATTTTCTTCCCTCTTTAGGGGCCTACGCAATTATAGAAATAATATATTTTGATTCACAACTGTAATATCCATCTTGTCTAATTAATTAAAGCTTTTTAAAAGTATGTATCCAAGAAAACAATGTTGCTTACAAGTTTATTGAGTCTACTTCATTTGTAAGTGTCTATGATTATGCGGATAAAATCTACCAAAATATATTATACATAACATACTATTTTGGTGTTATGTAGGGACTGAAGACATGGAGACTGTTGGGAATATGGTTGTTAAATACTGGGACAACCATAGAAGCCTTGACCAGAAAATGATTGACCTAAAAGGAAAATTGGTTGATTTAAATGCCCTGAAGCAAGACGTTGAATCAAGAAAGAGGGCAGAGCTGCATCCGAGGAAGAAACTGAAGTCACAAGTTGATGTATGGTTCAGAAATGCTGAAAGAATAAATGATGAGATACAAAACCTTGAACAAAGAGTTGCGGAAAGCATTTCCGTCTCACGTGGATTTTGCATGGAAGATGTCTTAAAAAAGATACAAGAAGTTGAGGAGCTTCTTCAACAGGGTAAGTTTGATCAAGGTTTGGTGGTCGATAACCTTACGTGGATTGGACAAGCTTTGTCAACAACAAATTTAGTTGGGAAAGCTG